ACGCGAAACTGGCGGTTTAAAACCGGACCAAACCGTTAGGTTTAGGTTTGAATTTTTTTCTAACCACCGATCAAAACGGTTTGGTTTAGGTTTGAGTTTTTCTCAAACCGGTTGAAACGGTTTGATTTGAAAATTTGTTAAAAATTGGTAAAATCGGACCGCTTACACCCCTAGAGACTGGAAAGAAGGGACTTTGTCATGCCTCCATGACCAGTCAGCTCGGTTCTCACTGGAAGCCACACGATCAGATCTCGAGTATGATTTCTCAGTTTGATTGCGATTGTAGCTATGCGCCAATAGTTCTTGATTTAGAATGAGCATTTGGTTCCCCTCTCTATCACCATGGTTATCATTCCTATCATAGTTGTAGTTTCCCCTTCTGTTACCAGAAGAGTGATGCTCCCTAATAAAGAACTTCTGTATCGATGAAATGGGAAAAGTTAGAAGTATAACAGTAAGTTCACGTTGCCAAAAAATTATAGCATAAACAAGTTCAAGTTATCGGGAGAAAAAAAAAAAGGGATTTATAGCACCCAACCAAAAACATAAAGCAAACAAAGAGCATAGTTTCTCAATTTCAAAGGTAAGCTTCATGTGCACAAAAAGTAAAAAAGCTGGCCACTCTTGCGTAATTGTATAGAGAAAAAAAATCATTTCATAAAGCTCCTATTACTCAAGACAACAGAATAAGCAAATTCATTTAATTTACAACCGATGGTTCTTATTTTAACTTTAAAAACTACGACCTGATCACAAGAAAAAAAAAAAAAAATCAAAAAGATTCTTTTAAATTCTGATCAAGCCTTTAATGATTCTTCTTTGTATTAGTTTTCATGTTATTAAAAGCATGTTTGGGAAGTGTTTATAAACAAAAAGTGGTTTGAATGTTAATAAACGTAAGCCAAACATAGGCTAATAAGCACACAGCATTTTAATCAACTTGTCAGCTAACTGAACTCGTATTTCCAATTTAGGCATGGATTAAATCACGAAAACCAAAACCAGTCACATTATTCTTTCATATAAGCAACCTCCCAACAAATGAAAAATATTCAAGCATTTGGATGTGTCGAACGATGGATTTTGAAACTAAAACAGCTTTGCCGAACGCAGGTGTTCCTGTTAACAACTTGACCATCTTTCAAGTCTGAAGTGGATGGTGCGGGTCATCTTAACATCTATGTCAAGTTTAGGCTACAGTTGCAGATCCAGGGAGCACATTATGATATTTGTTAGAATGCAGTAGAGAAAATTATAGTGGTTCCCACCCTATGCATGTATAGCATTTAGGTCTTCGATCCACCTATCTTTCTTGGCATCTAAGTAGCCAATCTTTCAATTTTGTTAAATTCGTGTCCCTAGTGGACAGTTCCGTTTATTTAGCTATTTAAGAGCAAGTCTATGGCTGGGGATTTGGGGTGGGGGA